CGGCGTTGAGATGTTCTTGGAATGTCAACACCTGATCCCGTTCGATGACGACGAAGGTGTCATCCACATACCGGGCCCAGAAATTCGGTCTGTGGTTTTGGAAGACCAGCGATTCTAACCGTTGCAGGACCGCCTCGGCGATGAATCCCGAAATCGGCGAACCCACCGGTGTGCCCTTCACATGTTCGTAGATTGTCCCGTTGAACGTGAAGTACGTCCTGAGACAGAGATTCAGGAGTTGAAGGATTTGGGCGTGTCCAAGACGGTTCTCCGTTTCATCGTATTTGCTTTGTAGTAGCAGCTTAATTGTCTCGATCGCCAGGTCCTGGGGAATGGAAGTAAAAAGGGATGTAACATCAAAAGATACCATGACCTCAGTTGGATGGATGCTTACCCCTTTGAGTTTCTCCAGGAATTGTACTGACGAAGAGACCGTGGTGTCTGACTCAGCGGTCAGGAAATTGAGACGCCGGAACAGCCACTTAGCCGGTCCGTACGTTGGAGTCCCTTTGAGCGACACGGTGGTTCGGAGAGGAGCGCCGTCCTTGTGCACCTTAGGAAGGCCATAGAATCGGGCTAAAGCCGTATCTTGGGGTCTCGCCATGCGTCTGTCGGTCGGTGTTATTGCACCTGAGTACTCCATGGCCAACAACGTAGCATTAATTTCGCGTGTCAGCGCCTTTAAACGGTTCGTTGCACATGGGAAATAGAACTGGCTAATAAAGCTCATGTCCAGGCGATCGTGTCTCCTTCTTCAAGACTACTTCCTGGGACTCATCTCTTCGATTCTATTGGCAATGTATTTGGGCGCAATGCGCTCCGATCGGCCCGCCGATGGGAAACATTCGTCATTCGGAAGGCATCAAAGTATTCGCAGTTCCGGTTTCTGAACAGGTGTCTCGACAATAATGCGTTACCGAAATGTGTTTCATACAAGCCACCGGTTCAAACGGATTTGGCGACACGAGCTGAATTACAGCACGGCAGGCGCGATTTCGGAAGAACAGACAAAGGATGGCATGTAGTAGTGGAAGTAATTAAATTGAAATGGTAGTAGTGGAAGTGGTAGTTGTAGGAGTAGTAGTAGTGGTAGTAGTAGTAGTAGTAGTAGTAGTAGTAGTATTAGTAGTAGTAGTAGTAGTAGTAGTAGTAGTATTAGTAGTAGTAGTATTTGTAGTAGCGATGATGATCTTAGCATTTGCAATAGTATGTATTACGTGTGAGTGGCTGAATATGGGGACGCATGTCTCATTAATCATGGCGAGCATAGTCCTCTTCCCTGATCCTCGCAATGTCTGAGGACTGCAATATAAGCAGCTGACAGGCATGGAATGCTAGTAGCTTGCTCCATGATGCAGTTGTCTACAAATGCCTCCCTCTGAATGAGACAGCAGCTTCCGTACTCAGTACAGACATTGGTTCTACAGGATGATTGGTGAAGAGGTTGTGGCCAGAATTGCCCGGATGAAATGAAGGGCTGCAGATGGACGCTACTGAAGTGAAGTAAGTAGAAGATGAGGGTCATTGGGAAGTGTTAGAAGGAGACATGCTGGAGGTGGTGAGGATGCGAAAGAAGATGGAGAATGGAATTTGAGTGAGGATGAGGATTGGATTGGTGTGAGAGGGATGAAGTGGTGAATGATGATTATTGAATGGGAATATAGGAATGGGCAATTTGTATTGTAGTAGGTGGTGCCTGAGTTGCTTGAACATCTTCAGTTGCAGACAGTTCGCTGTGTTATTAAAGCCCGTGGCACCTGTTGAATCCTGGCTGTTGCACACCGGCGTGTTTGTTCCTAAGAATAACTGAGATTGGTTTCGCTCGCGTGCAGAGTGTTTTGCAATTGAGGGGCCCTAAGGCAACACTTCCATATGCAATCAAAGACAATGCCCGCTTATCAAGGCATCACCCCCAAATCTGCTGCATATTTGTCACTCTCAACTACAACTCACAAAGGCTCTTCCAAACACCACATCTTCATCCACACCTACCAAGCAAATCATGATATCATCTACCTCTCCACTTCATCCTGCACCCTCCTATCTGCTCATCACATAGTACCTGTCTCTTCGTTACCAATGCTTACGCATCACACAAACTGCTGCACAAAAAACACTGACCCTCTTATAATTCTACCTTCTAGTAATACTACTTCTACTACATCTACTACTCCTAATAGAACTACTGCTACGCCAACTCCTCCTCCCATTCATGTCTCTACTTCTTCACCCCTGAATCTCTTAATTCGCCGAGAGCAACAAATACACCATACCACGCATCTAGGCGCTACAGGGCGGCTTCATGTAAGTCATTCATTACTTTTCGTGAGATGCCTTGCTTGCTTCTTCACAAGTTTGGCGATTGTGTCAGACATGTGGGCCTGTGGAGAGTATGCATGCCAACTCAATAGAGTCTAGTGGGCTACCAGTGATACTGTGGAGGCCACAAGCAGTCAGTCATATTTCATGGAGGCTAGTGTGGACTTCACGAATGGCTGTCGGGTTAAATGCCAATGCGTGTAATAGAGGCTGAGCATGTTGTGTGTGTTTGCACCTAGAATGAAGCAGGCGGCGAATGCGCTGGATTAACACAAAGGCAATATGAGAACAAGATAAGAGTTATTAGTAATGCACACTCCAGAGGAATCCCTGACATAGGAGAAGCGAACTGGAATAAATCCTTTCAAGTAGTTGCATTAGTAGTGGCAGCGGTAAAACTTGCAGTAATAGTGGCAGTATTAGTAGATTAAGTAGATGTATTTGTAGTAATAGTAGTAATAGCATTAATTCCACTGGTATTTTTTCTATTTTGGGCTGATATATTAGATTTTTAATGGGCTTAGTATTAGTGGAATTGAGTAATTTGTAATGGTAGTAGATGAATTGGTAGTAGTAGTAGTATTAGCAGCAGTAGTAGTATTGGTAGTAAAAATAGTAGTATTAGTAGTAGTTGTAGTGGTGATGATGATGATCTTAGCATTTGCAATAGTATGTATTACGTGCGAGCGGCTAAAAAAAGGGGACGCATGTCTCATTAGTCATGGCGAGCAGAGTCCTCTTCCCTGATCCTCGCAATGTCTGAGGACTCCAATATATGCAGCTCAGAGGCATGGAATGCTAGTAGGTTTCTCCATGATGCAGTTGTCTTCAAATGCATCACTCTGAATGAGACAGCAGATTCCGTACTCAGTACATACATTGGTTCACCAGGATGATTTGTGAAGAGGTTGTGGCCGGCATAGCCCTAATGAAATGAAGGGCTGTAGATGGACGCTACTGAAGAGAAGTAAGTAGAAGATGAGGGGCATTAGGAAGTGTTAGAAGGAGACATGCTGGAGGTGGTGAGGATACGAAAGAAGATGGAGAATGTGATGTGAGTGTGGATGAGCATTGGATTTGTGTGAGAGGGATGAAGTGGGGAATGATGATTATTGTATGGGAATGTAGGCAGGGGCAATGTGTGGTGTAGTAGGTGGGGCATGAATTTTTTGTTATTCCTCAATGGCAAACAGTTCATTGTGTTAAGCAAGCCCATGGCGCATGTTGGATAGTGGCCGTTGGAGTGCGGCGCGTTGATTTCTAAGATTGACTTAAATTCGGTTGAAAACAAGCGTGAGCAGCAGAATTTATTTGGGCCATTAATTTCGTGACGGCTTTGCAACTGCATCCCGTCTCTGCATAACATAGATAACGAATGAAAGCGCACAACAGTATGAATTTGTACAGAATGGCAGTGCATAGGAGCAAGGTCAAAGTTCAAAGTAATCAATAATCAGATAAATCATTCACATTAGCATCAAAAAGGGAAAAACGGGGCGACGAAATTGTAACAACAAATCACAGTCAGAGGAAAATATAGGCGTGAGATTACCAGGGCAATTGCAGATTGATCACGTGATCTAACTGCTTGCACAGGTCTGCTTTCTCTCTTCGTATGTAGGCTGCTTCCAAATAACGCAAGGTTCGAGTTGTACGTGCTCAGACAAGTACTCAAAAGGATGCTTTATGGTCGACAACATGACCGCTATCTAACAGGTGTTTCGTTATAGACGAATGGGGGGTTCTATTTTCCTGTTTGAAAAGCCAATAAGGCAAATGCTCAGCGGCCCTGGTTGCCAATTGCCTTTGCGTTCGCCCAATGTACTTGCATCCGCAAGTGCATGTGAATTCATACACACAATTGGGGGTGGCGTGCATTGGCAAGGCATCCTTTGCCCGGTTAATTGGAAGGCTTTTTGCGGAACAGATGAAGATAAGATCTGCTGCGTTGTACGTTCTTTCTATAGTGCAACGCAACCGTCGCCTGATTGTGTTTGAGACGTTGTCACCCTTGAAAGGTAGACATATTATACCGGGCTACTTCGGAACGGAATGTTCCGTCAAATTTGGCCTCAAATGGTTGCTGTACTTCTGAATGAAGCGTGCAGGATAACCACGACTAAGTAAGGCTTATTTGATACGGGCAGTTTCTGTATCTATGGTCTCCATGCAGTAAATATTTCTCGCTCTTTGAAAAAGAGTATTTACTAGATTACGTTTCCATTGTATTGGCACAAAGCTTTTAAAAGGTAGGTATTGCCCTTTCCACGTAGCCTGTGGCAGACGGAGCATCTGCAGAGTGTTTTGAAATCGAGGGGCCCTAAGGCAACACTTGCATATGCAATCAAAGACAATGCCTGCTTATCAAGGCATCACCCCCAAATCTGCTGCATATTTGTCACTCTCAACTACAACTCACAAAGGCTCTTCCAAACACCACATCTTCATCCACACCTACCAAGCAAATCATGACATCATCCACCTCTCCACTTCATCCTGCACCCTTCTATCTGCTCCTCACATAGTACCTGCATCTTCATTTCCAATACATAAAAATCACACAAACTGCTGCTCAAAAAACACTGACACACTTATAATTCTACTTTCTACTAATACTACTACTACTACTACTACTACTAATACTACTAATACTACTACTACTCCTAATAGAACTACTGCTACGCCAACTCCTCCTCCCATTCATGTCTCTACTTCTTCACCCCTGAATCTCCTAATTCGCCGAGAGCAACAAATACACCATGCCACGCATCTAGGCGCTACAGGGCGGCTTCATGTAAGTCATTCATTACTTTTCGTGAGATGCCTTGCTTGCTTCTTCACATGGTTGGCGATGGTGTCAGGCATGTGGGCATGTGGAGAGTATGCATGCCAAGTCAATGGAGTCTAACGCGCTACCAGTGCTACTGTGGCGGCCACAAGCCGTCAGTCATAATTCATGGAGGCTAGTGTGGACTTCACGAATTGCTGTCGGGATAAATGCCAATGAGTGTTAAAGTGGCTGGGCATGTTGTGTGTGTTTGCACCTAGTATGAAGCTGGCGGCGAATGCGCTGGATTAATACAGAGGCAATATGTGAACAAGATAAGTGTTATTAGTAATGCACACTCCAGAGGAATCCCTGGCATAGGAGAAGCGAACTGGAATAAAACCTTTCAAGTAGTGGTATTAGTAGTGGCAGCGGTAAAACTTGCAGTAATAGTGACAATATTAGTAGATTAATTAGATGTATTTGTAGTAATAGTAGTAAAAGCATAAATTGCTCTGGTATACTTTCTAGTTTGGCCTTATATAGTAGAAGTTGAA